TGATGACTTACACGTCCCTCAACATGTAGCTGCAGGTTCCCTTGAATGTAATGTTTCTATCAGAGAAATATTCATGATGGTGAAGAATGCACCGCTTGTAGATATACAACAGCAATTTATTTCTGAATGGGAATAACTGCAAGCATGCGTTATTTAAATTTATGAACAGTTTTCCAGATGTAGCAGAAATACGAAGAGGGAACTCTTCAGATGTGGCAAATTTAACATCTTAAAATGCAAACCATGGGTCATAAATTATGATTTGAATATTAGTTTCTCAAGAGCTTGTTCTCAGTAGATGGGGAGCTCGAGGATTTTCATTATTATTGTTAGGCAGCTTGATTATTAGATTTTTAAGAAGACGGTAAAATAACTACGTAGTTGTATAAAAAGGAATTTTACTCAGGACCACTTTCGTTAAATTTACTGATATACCTGTATTCTGAGAGCTCCCTGCCCTTCTACATGCTTAAGCCTGCAGCAGGGAGAGCACACCTCCCCTTATTTTAATGTGCATACAAGAAAAGACAAGGCAGGCAGCGCAGAAGCTGCAACAACAGAAAACCAAACAGTGTGACAATACATATGACACTAGCAGGATTACATGCCGCAGAAAAGGTGGAGCTGAGATGGAGGCGGATTGCAAAGCAGTTGTAGAGGAAGCAGCAAAACAAGGTTATCAGCTGAGATATCAGCTGATCCACTGTGGGCTGAGCTTGACTTTCATGTCCTGCTTGAACTACTGCTATGCTCAATATGGCCATTAAGTTCTAAATACACCCTGGTGAGCAAGGTAGCTCAGCCACTGTCATCATTCAGACCCTGACTGTGTGACTGATGAAGTTATATGGTTTACCTGTATCGGCATACCATCAACTTAGTAGGCAGTATAGTACATAATTTTTTATGATTCAGTAGGTAGTGGGTTGATGTGTGGCCACGGCTATAGTAAAGAATCATTTGAGCATGGCCAATTTGACTGATACAACAAGGCTAATGCCTCAACTCCATCTTTTTGTTGGTTTCTGTAGAAACCAGTGGATAACCAATGGGTCTAGATCTATGTTTCCTACACTCTACAGGAGAACATGTTGTAAAACAAATGTAGAACTTATGTACCTTAAACTTAGCTGAAAGTGGTTTGTATTTTAAAGAAAGTCCTACTTTTTTCCTTACCAACTGTAATAATCCTCTGACTTCACTTCAGCTGTGTGCATATTTTGTAGTGTACACACCTTCCTTTACTTTTGTCGGTATTTTCTGTGACTCATAAGGCAGGGAGGTCTGAATAGCTTCCTTCCACATTTATTTTTCAAAACCTTGATCTCCGTTTCTCACTATTTAAAATGATCAATGCTTCAGCTAAAGCTGGAGTCCTGGGGTCTTAGTATTTGTCAATTTTTCAGGGTAATAGAATGTAACCAGTTATTGAAAGTGAAACAGAGTTACCACCGGGCAAAGAAAAGAGTAACAGGGAGACTTCCAAACCGACTGTGTCTTAAAAACTCTTTGTGTCGACCCGCTCGCCGTTTCTCCCTGGCTGATTAGGCGCCATTGGCAGAATCTTTTTCTTCACTTTAATTTTAAATTTTCAAGCCCCCACTCACGGTGTATTACCATTATCGCTAACTGTGAGACTCCATCGAGCCGTCTGGTTCCTGTGGACATGCGTGGAAATTGCTGCAAAATGCTAGTCTAAATGTAAATGGACTCAGGTAATTGTTATCTTTTTGTGAGTGGAACTTTTCTCATTGACTGCTCTTTTTAGGTTATTCTGATATTTTTTTTTTATTCAGTGTAATTTGAATTTAATGCCCTCGATGTGTAGTGAAATGGGGTCATGAAAACTGTTAAAAATACATTTCTGAAACTGAACCTCTGTGTTTGAAAGCGCCTTCAAATTGAATGGCGTATTGACAAAGCTGTTTTGTAAATGACGAACCTTTGCAAACCATTACAGTGTGTTTGATGCTGTTACACATTATTTGCCATGGTAATAACCTTTCTCCTGTTTTGTTTGAGTCTTGTACCTCCCATTATAAAAGGGAGTTCTGTTTAAATATTTCCCTGGGATCTTCTGTTTCTTTGGCAGTACCTGTGTCCTCATCTGCTCTCCATTTGTTCAACCGTGGCAGAATTTTGGATCCTAAAACATTCATTTTTCTTTTTTCTTTGTGAAAATTCTGGAGGTTAATAAATGTGAAATTTATCGTTGAACCTGAAACATGACTGCACAAAGGCGGACAAAGGATGGAAACTATCCAAGGAGACTTAAACAGAATGGTTTAGGTGTCGTTTCACTTTGATCGTGCACATGCTAAACCTGCTTTTCTAAATGTCATGGATTTAGATCGTTGCCAGATAAATCTTGGCATCCTATGAGCCAGGCTTGTTTTATTTCTTCTATCCCTCGAACCTTAACTCCCTTTATGTCTCTCTCTCTCTCTGTTTCTCAAACACCCTGGTGTATACACACACACCTCAGAGCGCCACCATCTCCCTGTGTGACATGCTTCATGCGCCGAGGGATCCACTCCTGATAAGCAAACCCCTCCACACCACCTCCACCACCATCAAAAAAGCTGATTTCAGGTCTCCAAAGCAGAACTGTCCACAGAGGACTATCTCCACAAAGCTGCCACGCATGAGCTGGTCAGCTGTCTCATTGATCTGCCTTTCCTCACAGTCCAGCCTGGGCATTGCTCTTGTTTGCTACGCTTTAGCGCATCCACTTTGGAAAACATCACCCGTGGGAGAGGTGGAGGAGAAATCTAAAAAATAATAAGAAAAAAAAATCCCACTCGCACAATAATAAACTTTGGTTCCAGCGAGCTTCCTCAGGCTGTGCACTGATGTCATCAAATACGATATGCATGCTATGCAGGGGAAATGAGCGCAGCTTTAACATATGGGGTCATGCACAGTGAAGTGAAAGGGGCTAATCTTACAACGATGCTTGCACATGTGTCACTGTGGTGTGTGTGAGTGCTAACATGTACAGAGAAAGCATGCACGCTTCCAAACATCACGCAAATGCTCTGTGCTGTTGAATCAACCATTCGCATTATCCTGAGATTCTTGTATTCCCCTAATGCACGTTCAAGATACACAAGCACACTGCATTTTTTGTTTTTTTTTACCTGAATATCATGAAAACAGATCTCGAATTATTATGTCAAATTCAATGATGCTTCTTGGATGAGATGTCTTCAAGACCTAAAATGTCATATTGGATCATGCTGAGCTGTTTATGACCTCTCCTCTTGAGTTTTATGCATAAATCTGAAGAAAGGAAATCATCTAAACTCCTCCATTTCCTCTTTTTCTGGTTATTGGAGGAAAATAAACAGACACCCTCTTGCTTTATTGTAACACAGTATCTGGCCTTGTGCTTCTCCTGGTCCTGTAGGAGGGTGCAACGTGTAGAGTTTCAGGGTTTTCTACTGAAGCACTGGAACTTTTTGCGGCTGAAGACTCATATTGGCGTAATGGAATGGCTGCAGGGTGGGAGAAGGGGTGAGTCATGCTTCGAGTGGGGGCGTGAAATGAATGTGGTGATGGTAGTGGTTGGAGGTTGGATGGGGGAGCTGCTTCACTGGTTTAAACCGATGTACATTTGTCATTTGGGCATATACCAAAAATCCAAGTGTGTGTGATCCTTATTCAAAAGCGTTGTACTTTACTGGGTTGCCATCCCCATTTTGGACATGCCAAACCACTTCCTTTTTATGTTGAAGACGTGTTTCGGGCTCCCAAATGTTGCCCACCACTTTCTCATGGAACATTCAGGAAGTGGTGCTTGGTGAATCAATTTTCATACCTCCTGTAGAGGAAAGGGTGTGAGGGTCTTTCCAGTTATTTTACAGTTCCCAGGGAAGAAAAAGAAATATGAGGCTCTTCAGTTAGCTGAAAGCCAACACAGAACTTCAGATGCAGATGCCAAAAACCAAATGCGTAAGTCGAGTCAACTAACCAGGTTGTTTACTTTATCATTAAGAGTTAGAGGCACAGAGCAGAAGCAGGTTTATCAGTGTCTGGAGCAGAATTTGGCTGCTTTTTGGGAAAGGTGAGCCAAGATGCACAAAAGTAACTGATTCTGCACGTGGATACAGCTCCTCACATGAGTAATTGCCAGGTTTTTCTTTATAGCCTTCAACACGTGCCTGTTTATAGTCAAAAGTTGTTTTAAGGACTACTTCAGAGAAACAACAAACAGAGTCATGTCAGTGGTAGAGTAGAGCAGAGAGAGAAAGATGTCAGACTACAAAAGCGCCACGTGCTAGCCTTTTTTTTTTGGGGGGGGGGGGGGGGGACTTCCATTTAATGCATCTATTATTGGTGCCAAATTGGGGGGGACATTCTTGTGCTAAAGACTCTTTTCAAACACTCTCTCATCCCATGGTTCCCATAGCTTTGATTTGATTTAACTTGATCCCTGGCTCTCAAATGTCATTTAAAGCTCCTGGCGTCAGCATTATCTGTGCCATCAAGCAGACACAAAATGAGCACTTTCGTTGCATTTGCTGGTCCATAAAGTTAAAGGTCAGAGCCCTGTGTTGTTTTTGACGTCAACAAACTTCTGCAAACTTGAAATTATTTCATAAGGCTGGACATAGTCTCTTGAGTTGAGTCAGTAAGGCACAGACGCCCACGATATGAAGCCAAAGAAAATCAATCTATGTTTACTGATAAGTGACAGGAACTGAAGTGTGTCATTGACCCTAACAGCTGCTCTATTTGTCAAAAGAGGGCTGTGTGCAAAGCTCATGGCCAAACCTCTCGAAGGAGGGTATGCCTCTGGGCCGAGGATTTAAGATGTGATAAGGTAATTGCCCGATGTTTAGACAGAGGTATCATTGGTCCTCCATCTCCAATCCGCTGTCAGAGAGGTTAACGACCAGGAGGCCAGACAGTGATTAAACATTTATACGGGACATCTAACCCCTTATATATCAAATGATCTCTGCAGTATAGGTCTCTGACTATCCGGCTCATCTTACGTCTCTTCCAAAATCCTGCTGCCCTCATCAGCCTCCACTATGTCCAGACCCTCACAGTACACAAGGGAACTGTAACCGTCTGGACCCGTCTTACACTTTTTCATCATCTCTCTGGAATGAAACGGCAAGCATCTTCACACAATACGGGTCGGAGCTGCTACGGCATTAAAAATGGAATATTAAGCACATAAAATAGAAAACCTCCCCCTCTCAGATTCTGAGCATTTATAAGTTGAATCATTTCAACAGAGGACAACTGCTTTAGCTGATGTGGGGGTAGAATTTCTGCGTTCGCCATTACCTCCGTGTTTAAAATCCAGGATCATTGAACTGTTATGAGCCATAGTTTGCCAGCCAACATCACCAAGGAAGCAAAACCATTTTTACCAGCTTCCTGACATGTTGAAAAGCCTAATCCAGAGAGGCTTTTATAAGCTTTTAAACTGATTGACCATATCCTCATGGCCCCGGATGCTCCTTCTAGACTGCTGGTTTTATGTGCAGGAGCTGGATGCAGAAAAAAGGGTGTGAGGTTACCACTTTGCCACAGGGTGAACCTTCGCTTTGCCATAGTTACTCCCCCGCTGTTTCGACCCCTTAATTTGTATAATGCATTGAGAAACAAAGCCAAGACAATATAAAGAATTTTACTTGCCCTCATGCTTTCTCTTACAACCTACTTTCTTAAATTGAAGGAAGTAAGAGAATAGGAAGATGGATCAATAAATCCTTACCAGCAGTGAGCCCTGTAGCAAAACTGCTCTGCCACATCCTGTAATAGCCATTCCCATAAGACCTTTTCACCTGCTACCTTCCCTCATATGTTCTTCATTGTCTTCCAGCGTTTCTCATTGGCGTAACTATGGCATCTGTGGAAACGAGCAAAGGACGGCAAATGTTTTGAGGCTAATCGTTACGGCCTCAGGGCACCGAGATAGGCTTAAGCTGACACTTTATCTGGCTTGTAGCCACTGGTCTTGTATTGTTCTCCTGTTGTTCTGCTCCAGTCTCCAGGGAGCTTTTCCATTCCTGATATGAACCTCTGGGTGTCTTTTAAAGATGATATTCCAGAGATCAATATGACCAAATGTGGTCATTGGGGACATGGCCCTATTTGGAACAAGTACACCGTTGTGTAAGATGATGAGGTGAGCGATGGGCAGTCAAACCACATGACAGGTTTCAGGCGCAGGTCTGGTTTCAATCTCAGATAAATAAATCACAGCTTAATACCTGTCTCATATAATTCCCTCAATGCATCTGTGACTGGAATACAGGCTCGGACGGAGGATAAAACAGAATGTGCACTGCATCTCAAGAAAAAGAAAGTGAAAAAGAGAGACGGTGTGGGGGTGGAGGGGCGGTAGTTTTGGATTATAGGCTAAACACTAGTGCTGGCAGACATAAAGGCAGGATCTGTCTCCTTCCCGGTCTTGTCTGTCTCTCTTCCAGCTCAAACAAAGGGATAGGAGACGGGGATAGGGTTTCTCTGATTAGAAGATTGTACAGGCTGACGCGCAGGGACAAAGGATGGGCTAGCCTTGTTGGATGTAACCTAAGATGGGAGCTAGTCTCCAGGTTAATTGTTGGGATTAGAGAGACAGGTGTTCATGCCATGTCCATGGAACAAGTTACACCTCAGACACAGGTATTGATGGGCGTTTCCGCGTAGCATAAAATTGCTACATTAAGCACTATTGTGTGTTTTTATGGATGCACTTAAAGGTGACTACCCTACTTTGCCTAATATCTTCACACATGCATCAACCTGCACCCCAACAAAGACAATGGCTGGTTTTGTCTCACAAACAAATTTTAACCAAAGTTAATTAAGATTTGCTCTTAAGTGGCCTTTACACCCCCATCCCCTTCACACAGAGACAAAGACATTTGTCCAACAATGTCCTGATCTGAAAAGCTAATGTTTTGGGAAAGGGAGGATTAGGATAAGACTCCAATTTGGAGCAACTTTTAGGACTATTGTGTACACAAACCTCGGAGATTAGATTAACATCTACTCAATAAAGAAGAGGAGATAAAGATGGGGAGGGGGTTCAAATATTCACAGGAAAACAAAACAGGTTGCCACACTTACAGTCAGTTTGTGAAGGGGTAATGAAAGTAGCCTTCGATTGCTACTTTCTCTGGTTGGTTCATCACCACCAGAGGTTGTCACCAATTTGGAAATGGTTACACAAGATGATATATGAAGTCGAGGCAGGGTTCAGGCCGCCTGACAAACAGCTGAAACCCTTTCATTCATAAGCAAATTTAGCCTCATCCCGAATAATGTAAAATTGTGACCTTGATATTACCAGAACAAATGAGTTTTGAAAATTCATAAAATTAACTGTATTTACAAGTAAAAATGAACTCTTTAGACCAAAACTGGCTTTTTATATCAGGTTGGGAAAAAAGCACTTTAAATAGCATTAGTTGGATTGTTGTGGCTTTCAGACGCAGCCCCAGGTGGACATTAAAGGAACTGTATTTCATTTATTTATTTATCTATATATTTATGTATTTACTTTGTCGGTGCTGTTGTATCAGCATCTTTTTCGTTAGCGAAGGTTGGGTAATCACCATTCAAATAAAAGGAAAGTTACTTAAATTTGGGAGGAAATGTTTGGGATATTTTAGTGTAACTGACCCTTTTCTGAAAAAAACGCTCCACTTGGTTGCTATGACTACCGGACTTTCCCCTCCTTCTCACCTGAAACAAAACACCTGAATAAAGCCCATGAAAGAAGACCGTGACCAGGCTGCAAAGAGGCCATTTGGTCAAGCTGAACCAGCACAATGCCTGAGGGTCCTGCTCTGCTTTATAGCAACGTCTGGCCGTACTTCCTCCTTCATCCCCCTCTTCAATTACATTCTATCCATTTTCAAACCTCTGCCTATTCTCCTAAATACTTCTTCTCTTTCCAAGATTCAGTGAAAGCCACTGACCTTTGCCAGGAGAAGTTGACAGCAATGAAACACATAGCTGCAGTCCACTCTTCACCTCGGCTAGATGGTATGGATCTGGAATCTGTGAGGAGAAAAAGGAGAAAGAGTCTCATTCAGTATCACTGGCAGCTGCTTCCTCTTCTATGCCTTGGTCCTGTCTGTCTTTCACCCCACTGGTCCCGAATGGCCCTTTTAAAACTTCATAACAGGTTTACAGCATGGCAGATTCATTTAACATTACACCACAGGAGCCATGCCCGCGGGCTCCATACCAATAGAGGGAAGGGAAAATGACAGAAAGTGATGTGGCTTTGGACCAAAACCCTCAACCCACTCAGAAACAAGTGTCTCAGTGTTCCTCAGCAGCCAACAATGGAAGCCCTCGCTACATGTTGATAATCCCTGCTGTGTTTTATGTACTCATTAAGTATGGATTCATAATCGTGTTAAGAGCTTGCAGGGATGAGCCAACACAACGAGGAAGGAGGCGGGGCATGTGTGTGTGTAAACAAGTACCTTGCGTTAGCTCATCTTTCATTGCAAGTGTCTCGTCCAGGGAGTTGATTAAATAGCTCTGCTTTAATGAATGAATAATGAAGATGGTCGTGTATCACATGTCAGTATTTACACATGTTTGTGTGGGTTTAGCTGCGCCTGGAACTGTGTTGTGACAGCAGATGAGGGCCATTTAGTTGGCGCTTTTATCAAGGGTATTACAGACCCACAAATAAACTCTCATGACAGGTAATCACTTTTGTATGAGATTTCTTATATTGCATTAATGCCAGCTTTTTAATATGATGCAATAAAATTCAATACCAGCACAAATAAAGCCTGAATCCACACCCCTCTGACACGGTGTCAACAAACGCTGAATGTGATAAGCCTATTAGAGGTCTATACAGTGTTGAATTGCAATAGATGTTCATTCTGTGGGTGTAGTTAATAAACCGGCGATTTGGTGTGATCAATCTGTCACATAATACGAGGCTCATGGGGGGGACAAGCACAAATGCATCCAAAGAAGAAGAAGCAAAATTATGAGGGCAATCTAATTTTCGTGTTAAGATAAGAGCATAAAAATCAGAATCACTAAAAAATTGTATCCTCACATGCTCTCTGAGGACTTTCCTCAACATCTAAACTTTTCCCCAACACCCCTCTGATTTGTCATGCTCAGAAATTCCTTTTTTCCTCATATCTGATAGGCAGTTGACAGCTACGAGCATGGCAATGATTGGTCGAGAGAGGCTCTGTTTAACAGGCGATCAGTATGCTCAGTGATGGGTGAGGATTCCATTAGGGGGAAATTAGGGGACTCGAGAATAGGAGTAGCAATAACGGCTGATATTAGAGCTCTAAATCATCCAGCTCTCCAACCTTATAGCTGCCCAATCCTTCCCATCCGCCCTGTTCTCACCACTTCTTCCTCTATCTCCCGCTTCCACACTTGCTCTTGTCTCTGAGACCTTGTCAGATTGAGAGGGCTCGATCAGTCAGCTTGTTCTCTGAGGACTCCCAGCCTGGCTGTTGATAAATCAGGCCCCACTCTCACCGTACTAAAACACACATAGAGAGGAGGACACACTATCTAGTCTGTCTTGACCAGGGACTGGTGTTATTAATTTTGCAGAGGGTCCCTGCAGAGAGCTTGAAGGCATCAGGAGACTGTGGACTTTATCATGCGTGTTTGCTTGTGTGTTTCAGAGTGTGTGTTCAAATTGTATCACAATTCTGCTACAGAGCAGACAGACCAACATCAGTACATCCATGTCTGATTTAAAGTAAAACATGGAGCGCAGCATCGGTTTCAGAGAAGGCAACCAAGATACAAAGAGTCAAACAAAATCATCTATTACACTTTGTTAAACTACCAGATGATCAATACGCAGTCTCAGTCAGTACGTTTACATGACAAACGAGGAAACCGAATTATCGCCTTATTCTGATTAAAACTGGACAACTGAAGAGCATGTAAACACCTTATTCCGACTATAATCAGAGTTTGAGAACTCTGATTGGAGTTGGAGAACTCAGATTAAGACACCCAGATAATGCGATTGGAATTTGATTTTCTCTACCATGTAACCGGTGTATTCAGAGTATGATTGGACAATGCATGTGTATCCATCCACGACCCTGTAACCCCAGAACAAAAACAGTAGTGTGCACCTCATCTGCAGAAAAAGTAGCGCGTACATCATGTACGACAAAAACAACACTCCATCTTCTTGCTTGAAAATGCCAAGCAGCAGTTGTAGCCACCTCTGACGTTGGGCACGGACCTGCTGTTGTTGTTGACAGTTGTATGGAATCAACCGGAAAAAGCGCAGCTGAAAAAACCCATATAGCCCCTTAGGTTTGAGGAGAAGTACACATTTACGCCAATAATTCAATTTTCACAGCTGCATGTATACGCAGACAAGGAGAAAAGTCTGATCCGGCAAAAAGAAAAACACATTATGAACTTAGTCTGATTAAGCTGTGCATGTAAACGCATTAACTGATAGGAAGTAAAACTGAACTCTCAAAATACCGCAAAGATTCTTATTAGTTATGGGAGTTCAGATTTTTGCCCATGTGTTTCAGCCCAACAAGATATTTTTGTGAGCAACAATTGAAGAAATCTCTGTTCACTCTGGACTATGTTATTCTCAGACAACAAATGGGCAGATTTATAACAACAAGTGTAATAATTGAAACATTAGAAGTAAATCTGGTCACTTGAATCTTCTTTACCCTTCCACTTTTCCATTACTGAAGGTTTACATTTGTAGCCATATCTTCATAAAGCAATAATTGTAATGAGGGCCATGTTGGCAGACATGTTCGGTATTCGTTTTATATGACTGCGTTGCAGAAGCCCCATGGGTGTTGGGGGCGGTGCCACAAAGTTTCTTTTTGTCTGAGAGAGACCCATTGGTTCAGGTCAGTGAGCATACAAGCACCACGACAAAGCGGAAACACTTAGCAAGAGTAACTCTCTACGGGTGCCCTTAATGTTGTCACATGCATGACAAGGCAGACATCCAGAGCAGATATATGGGCGGTCCCTTACAGATGATCATGAGTATGTGTCTGCAGAGCCGTGTGTTTGTTGCCATAACCGTTTACCAAAATTTAAGACTACAAGCTAAAACAAAACAAAAAAATCAGTGTTACCACTCACAAACTTATTAATGTACATCTGAGACAACTTCTAGTCACTGCTATCAACAAGTAACCGATAACAACTTAATAATAAAAGTAATTAGTTACAATGAAAGGTAACACGTTTCTTGATTTTGCCTCAACAGGCTTATCAATAGTCTTATTAATGCACCCTGCCTCTAGTCCAGTTGTGGGCGATTTGGCTTCAGGGTAATTTATGATAATGATATTAAAGATGATGAGAAAAAAATACTGAACTATATGTTTTAAAGGAGATTCCAGTTTGCAGGCGGCAGCATTTATCATCAGACCAAAAAAACCAAAAAAAAAAAACAGAGGTGCTCTATTAAAGCATTTACTTTTTGTCCTTCTGCTAGTCTAGCTGTTGAATACTAACATCTACCAGCCACTCCATTTAATCACTTTATTGTGTAATTGCATATACTGTTATAATCCAACAGGCTTGTAGCAGTCAACTCATAGACTGAATCACAATGTTAAATATTTCAACTTCTTAATAAAACACTGACGTGAAAAAAAAGTTTATTGTATTAGTTTTCAAAATTCAGTTAAATAGCTTAAGGCTGGTAAATGCCTTCATTTAACCATGTTCTCCAAGGCCAATTAACCAAGAGGTAAGAGAGTCAGTCAGTACGTGCACACACACTTTAAGTTAAGCTTACATAAAAGTCTATTAGGCGATTTAACTGGACTACTTTCCTTGTCCCAAAGAAATAAAGAGTTGACAGAAGTGTTGATGTGTTATGTATCAAAACAGTTGGCAAAACATGTTAGCAAGAGGCTCACAGGTTGTACGTCCTTTTATCGTCTGGCGTGTTTTTATTTCAGTAAGACTATTGCAATAAATTGATTCAAAAAATAATATGTAAAATGTACTGATTGCATTATTCTAAAATGATGTGAGACCATAAGAGGAGAGTCATCACTGGCTCAAAGGTTGTTGCCATGTGCTCGAAATACAAAAATCAATTTACTTGGTACAGCTGCGAATCCATCTGATGACATTTCAGGGAAAAGTTGATAACATTGATTTGTTTCAAAAATGAGGTTGCTGGTTCACAGGAATTACATTTTTATTCTATTGCTACCTCCCCGGATTCTGGAGAGCTCAGCTCTGCTTTATTGTGATAGTAGACGGTGGCATAATAATGCTTTTAGTTATATAAGTTGATAAACCGAGGAACTCAGATATTGCTGCTACAGGAGGTATTGAATCCTTTTTATAAGTGTATATGACACTGCTGGGAGAGAGTTTTAATGCTCATAATATTGTCTGACTCCAGTGTAACTTAATAGTAGCTCATGAATAAGAGACAATATTTTTCAAAGAGCTAAATTGCCGACATTTCCAGGCTAAACCCCACCCTGTAATGTCTACACTTGTGCCAGTTATTTGAACCTCACTGTAGAGGCAAAGCTAAATACCACAAATGTAAGTGAATTCAAGTCGTTTTAAATTAGTAACATATTGAAAAAGTCTCTGTTTTTCGGCTCATGAACTTGTGGATATTTAGGAATTTAGTCTGGCTTCAAAAACTGAAGGTTTTTTGTTCTAGAGCTGAAGCGTATCCTGACCTGAGGGGAAGGTTTTAATAGTGCGGGTAGAGAAACACATTTTAAACCGCTGCAAATGCAATTGAGAAGGAAGAATTTGATTAAGAGGGTGGTAATCGAGTCAGTGTGCCATAACCAGAGGCTTGGTGCTGTGAACTGCTGTTGCATGAGTGTAACGAGAGAGAATTTAACACCCGGCGTGGGCTTTTTGTTAATCCAGCTCTGTAATTTAGTCCTTCCTCCCCCATCTTTCAATTATCATTATCAGGAAATGAAGTGAGGCCTGAGAGGCTCTGCTAGAGCAAAGTTTTTAAATACAAGATCCTAAGAGCTGTGCTTCCTGTGTTGATGGTGAAT